GTTCAACCATTTTGTAGAGGAAAAAAGTTAAAGAGCTTACATGAAAATCAGCTTGGGCCTATTAACATGACTACATGGCGGCGGATATACTGTCAAAATCAACCCTTTTTTAACTAAAACATGTCTCTAGCCCCAAACGGTGTTGAGTAAATAAAATTGGGCCAGTAATAGTTGATTTTGTTCAGTTTCCGTCGCTCTATCTTCGAGTATATCACGTAAAAAATTCGATTCTTATGCTGTCGTAGTAAGGTACTCAGCTTTTTGGAAGTAATTATTGGTGTTTTTTTCATGGAAGTCGAGGAGGACTCAAAAGTTGAGTACGACTAACTTCTACTATCTCAATACTAGACGCCAAAAATTGGGATTTAGAAGCTTTAGACATCGCTGGTTCAGATGTGTATACAAAACCAAAAAAATGAATTTTAACTAGTGTCACAGTTTTTCAACCGATCTAAGGATGCTCTTTTGATTTTTTCGATTTCATCAAATATTTTGTGATTTCGACACAAGCGTTACGAATTGTAGAGATTTCTCGATGTATCCAACAGTTGGAAGCTAAACTGGTGGGTGGTCGCTTAGAAGAAATGAATAAACCGACTTTGACTATAACGGGTTCGTCCAGATGAATGCCAATTCTTATCCAATCAATGTCGAGTTTTCCACATCAAGTTAATAATGATTACTTCCTTGTATGAGGGTCTCAAAAGCGCACGTGATCAAGTGTATCTGTTTTCATCTGTTATTGAATTGTGCGGCGTTTTTGGTTGATGGGAACCCATTTTTACTCTGAAAAGAGAGTGGGCCGATTTTTGACCTTATACGTTCCCGTCCTTTGGTTGAAGGTGTTTTTAGAAATACTTCTCGTTCCAAAATACCATCGGGTAGGTCAGAGCGAAATAACTCAGTCAACGCTTGACTGAAAGCTTAATAGAGTTTATTATAGATACATGTTGATGTTCTCTATCGATTAACATCAAAACCGAGGTTATATGCAGAAATCTAAAACTTTTATTAAACTTTTAAAAATGGAGCAGAAAACCCGGACTAACCTTAAGCAAGTATTTTCTCAAAAAGTACAGGTCCGGTACCCGAAAAAAGTATTGAAATGTATACTTCAAAGTGTTCTCTACTAACGGATAGGAAAAACCGAGGACCCCCACCCCTTTTATAAAACGGCTCTTTAGTGTATAGAAAGCAGTGATATTTTTCTTTTATGAGATCATTATAAGCAAGTCCTACAGGTAATTTTCTACAAGGAACTTAACAGCAATACCATAACAAGCTAATTCTTCTAATAATGTAGTCTCAGATGAGGTTTCTGCCTAAGAAACCGCTTCCACGACTCCCATCAACTATACTTCACGCTTGTTCAAATGGAAATGAACGTCATATAAAATATCCACATCCAAATTAGATTATAACAGTTTTTCTTCCCCTTCAGCTTTTATCCCTTCAGCTTGTCACCCTTTCAGCTTTATGTTTGTTGTTCAACTTTATATATTTATTTAATGATAGAAATCGAAAAGAAATCCCTCTCTCTATGATGCGAGAAGATCTTGATCTTCCATAGCATATATGCCTTTTCGAGTATATCTATTCAATCAAAACTTAAGATATCAACTTTTTATCTTGTTTATCCAAACGTAAAACAAAAGCGGTAGAGATTGGACAATTGATGTATACTTTTAATTTTACTTTGCACGCACATGAATTTAATAGCTCATGTAACATTTGCTGAAAGCGCTACATCATTTAGTAATCAAAAACAGCTTACTCAGGTTCCAAATACTGGGTAACCATTATTATTGGGACCCAAGATATTGTATCGATGCATGCCTAATTGGAAATAAATACTTGCAATAAACTCTCACATCCTTGTTAAAGTGCCATGTCATATTTGTAAATATATAACCATGCGTGTCTATTTATCTACCCTTTCTTGCTATAAATCGAACGCACGAATGTGGTATTTTTAACAGGAACAATCATCTCGACGAATAAGAAAAGAGATTCCCAACTCCTCACCAAACTCTCGTGAAGGCTTTTTTATATTATTTATAGTTTAATTATATACATATAAATATATAGGAGACAATAAAGTTATGTGTTTCGAAAATTCTGTATTTCATATGACGATTTCTTTCAAAACGGGAAGACGCACCCAAGCAAAACAACACCCATGGGAAAAATCTAGATGCATTTCGTCTATAATCGGGCGATACACGACTAGTTGCCGTCTGGATTACTAGTTGGAAAAGGGACTTTTAACTAGATGCGTCTGCATGTGTAACTGGCAATAGTTAAATAGTTCGATTATCGCGCGATAAATCGATAGTTGCAACCAGAAGAAATGTAGCAATCGCCCGATTACCAGATTTCCACTGTCGTCACCCAATCGTTGCAATACTAGATGAATCGGGCGATACTAAATTTTTCTTTGACACTTGCGTATTTATCAAATGATCTAAGAGCGATTTTCATTAAAACTAGTTGATACGAAAGATGTGTTAGCATCCGTAAGGCAGAAAGTTCAAATGATTAAACGTATTTTCGATAGCACAATGACATTTCTCACTCAAATGTGGCAAGGCAAGACAACAAAACAATGAGAAATAACAAAAGTTGTTTTTCTGTTAGTTTGAAACGTTGATTATTCACCATTCCCAAACACAGTTTTTGTTCGAGAACATTAATAATTAAACATAGGAACAATAGATTTGATAACAGTAGGTAATTTAAATTTCATTTTCTAAATTTTATTGATTATTTAAAACTTTAAATTCTTCCACGTTTCGAACGTCAGAGCGTTCATTTTCAGGGAAAGGGGAAAGTAGTTAATGTTTTCGCATGCGATGTTAAAAATATGCATGTACGTCTGTCACACTGCCACATGACTATATGAATGCAGAGATGGGCGAGTACGAGTAAGTATACTCGAGTACAAAATTCCTAGTACTCATACTCGTACTCGGGGCTTTTTACCGAGTATTCCAAAAGATACTCGAGCACTTCCCAAAAAAGTGGTGACCTTTTCTTCTACTATTTGCGTTTCAAAAATGGATTTATTCTGGAATTTTTTCGGGTTAACTGGCTTCTACAAAAAAAAAATACTAGTAAATTTACTGCGCGAGTACTTTTCAGAAAATACTCGTACTCAGAAATCCGTTTACTCGTTCATCTCTGTATATATGTATCCCGTCACACTGCCACATGACTATATGTATGTACGTCCGTCACACTCATTAGTCACTATATGCGTGTGGGTTCGTCATAGTGGGCAACTTTGGCTACGGCAGGTGGACATGAGCCATAAGCGGGGTAGGAAAGCCTCTAAGCACTTTTGTGGAACTCCCTCACTATCTTCGAAGAAGAGGGAGTAACAGTTTTATGCCCAAAATCCGTGATCTTTATGGTAAATTTAAAAACACGCCATCTTAAATTTATGCACATCTTTTCGAGATATTGAGTTGGGATTAGGTGTGTATGTACACCGTCTGAAGGATGTCTTTACATGATTTTACAATGCTTTTACGCAATGTTATTTCGATCTTTGCTTGATATTCACGACGACACTATATCTTAGTGCGATTATTCAGCAATGATTTAATTCTATACTGTGCCAGGGAATCTGTTTGAGAGTTTAGCTGTGATAAATCCCAAATATAAATGTTTGGTTAGAAATACGTTTCATCCATGTTCTGTAACTTCCACTAGTATATTAAACTTCTACTTCAGTTTAGAACTAATTTTTCTTTTAAGAGCAGACGTCTCAGTATTGGGAGTTCCACCTTTCAGCACTTTCAGGTGCCACCCTGCCAAGGTTTTTTTATAGGTTTCGTATACACTCGTTCCAATGACATGGTTTTCAAACTTTGAAAGTATGTTTCTACTAGCTTCCAGAGACCGGATCTCTGGAAATCCTGTACGAGCATACTTTCAAAGTTTGAAAATTATGCCATTGGAAATAGTGCATACGACAACCTATAAAAAAAGTGCTTAGAGGCTTTCGTATTACTTTTATGGCATATACCTACGTGTCACACGAAATTTGCTGTGTTTATACCCAAAAACCATCGTATTGCATTGAATGGAAACATTTTTTGTATGTAAATTAATAAACCTGTACGTCATTCGATGCAGTTTTATGCGCCGATTCCGAATATATCATTAGTTTACAACAAAAGTGCTTTTGGACGGAGAAAAATAAATTTTACTTGGAAAATCAACGACCCCATATCTCATTCCAGGTACGTTCGCGCTAGTTGGCGCTAGCACTTTAGGTGTATTATGAGCAGAAAACCATTCTGCCAAAATGTCATCAAAATTGGACCTTAGCTAAAGTTAGTGCACTTATTATACTGAGCACACCTTATGAGAAAACACTTCGCCTAGAAAAAAATATTGTTTTTTCCAACACCAAACGGTTAGAATCAAATCTTTTTTTACGAATCGATAGACCGAAACGTCTAGTTTAAGATTATGTAGACACTTTTCAAAAATAGTTTTCAGATTCCATCATAATGTTTGTTGACTCTTAGCAGCTAGTTTTCTAGGCTAAATTTTCACAATGCATTTTTCGACTAACTATGGCACTTGGAACAAAACTTTTTATGACATTAAACAGACCGTATTGCAAAGTATGTTTGATACTATTTAAATCTTAAAAGAGTGCACTTTCATTTTACCACCTAATGTCTGCCTAGGTGCCCACTGTGCATGTGTGTTACGTTCGTCACACCAGTGTACGGACACACACACAAATATTTTATTTCGTATCGGCATGGACTTACAGTCAATGAAATAAGTTACTCGGAACAAAACTTTTTAAAAAATTAAAATAGGAAAAATGCATGGCTAAAAATATGACAGGAATAGATAGAATCAATGCTGAAAATCCAATAAACCCATGTAAATAATTGTATAGAAAAAGATATCGACTTCCCGGCAGCCATTCGAAATGAAGCCATATAAATGGGTGTGAAAATGCACAAGAGATACCGTTAAACAGGATTGTACGAAATCTGTGCTTCACCATTTAATGACACTAATTGTGATTGAGGTTCTTTGCTTGTATGCATTCTCATTGAATCTTTAATTAATCAATGCAAAATTTTACTGAGAATCTACTGCAATTAGCACTGCTCCATCCGAGTAGTACAACTCTGGGAGTACAATGATCTTATCTACTTGGACCGAAATATCACGTAAACAACTTTTAACAATAACTGCATAGTGTCTCTCCGAATACTGCCTCTTAGAGTTCTTCTAGCTAAAATGTTTCTCTGCTGCCTGAGTGAATGCAACCCAGATGAAGATCAAACTTTTACCATAGATATGCCACAACAAGTAAATTGTGATGAAAAGTTCAATATTGTTTTATTCTAACCATTTTATGGGAAAATGTTGATTATTATTCGTTTGTCTGTGTATATACTGTAAAATTGTGTTTACACAGCTAGAAATTTCTGCTGGACATCTAGAAGACCTTCGTACAACAGTATGTACTCAGATAAACGAATAATAATCAACATTTTCCCATAAAATGGTTAGAATAAAACAATATCGAACTTTTCGTCACAATTTACTAGTTGAGGCATATCTATGGTAAAAGTTTGATCTTCATCTGGGTTGCATTCACTCAGGCAGCAGAGAAACATTTTAGTTAGAAGAACTCTAAGAGACAGTGTTCGGAGAGACACTATGCGGTTGTTGTTAAAAGTTTCTAGAACTCACACAAAGCTCCAATAAAGTCTGACAGATTCCTAATGAAACTAACCCAATATGTTGGAGATATTCAGTGAAGTTTCTGAATATCTTCGACTTACTTGAACTATCCAGTGGTCCAACTGCAACGAGTGGATGATATTTGACTGTTTGAGAAAGTGTCGGTATTACTGACCGACGCTTTTTTCTTGAACCAAAATTCGATAATGTAAATCCACATGTAACAACAGAATTTTCTATTTTTGCTTGTGTAGCGTTAAATGTTCCGCCGTCATTCGATGGAGCAGCAATCGGCACTACATGACCACCTGGATTTATTAAGCGTTTTACAACAATACTGTTATCTGATAAATGTTGACAAACAAAGACATGATCTTCACCCTGAAAATAAATACTTTGCGTTGACGGAAGTATTAGTGCGAAACTAAAGTTACCATCTCTTCGTCGAGTGATAAACCCAAGGCCACCCATTGCTGAACTTTTAAATTATTCGCAACCATTTGAACTGTGGTTACTTCGGATGAATAAGTCCAAGAAATACGAATGTTTCTATTAGAAGGTGATATTAAAGTTGTAGGTACGACAGCAATGGCAGTAGTTTTTGACACTCCTTTTCTTTCAGATATTGTTGATTTACGAATAATAGTAGATAGAGGAGGCATTTTCTGCGTAAAAGAAAATGAGAATGATTGTGAAACATTGCATTATTTGACTACCGAGCACTATAGAATCCTCGCAATTGACCACCACCTATTTCAATTTTGCTTATCTCGACTGTCATAAGCGATATATCCTTGGACAGTTATATTTTTTCTAGTTTGCCGCCTGCAAAACTAAAACTTTCTAAATAACAAAAAGAGGGAAATAAAAGGAAGGGAACAAAGGGAAACGTCTATCTTAATCATATAACTTTTAAATAAAACATCGCAGAGAGGTTGGACGTATCTCATTTTGAGAAGAGGTATTGACGATTGCAATAATCGAAAAAGCTCTCCATCACATTTATTCTTCTGATTTTTCACAGGATCTTTTGAAGCAAAGATCCCGAATTCAAATTGGAGAGACAATCTTGTAGTATTTAGGCGAAAAATTTGAGCTTGAAAAAGTAATATCAATCAGAAGACACTGAGAGCTTGTAGTTGTCCCATTATAGCATCCATAAATGATAGTATTAATTGAAAATTTTTGTCACTGTATACGTTGAAATCAAGCTATCAACTGTGTTTTGTACAAAAAATACATACTTCTGTAAATGCAACACCAAAAGCAGCGGATTGTGACATTTTTGATGGTTCAAACATACGCATAGTAGTAGATGGAGAAGGCATTTTCTGCATAAAAAAAAATGAGGCTGATTATGAAAGATTGCATTATTTTACTTTCGAGCACGACAAAATCCTCGTAATTTTTTTGTCACTGTGTACGTTGAAATCAAGATATCAGCTATGTTTTGTTATAAAAAATACATACTCGTGTCGTGACAATCGAACTAAGCGTAACATTAAAACATCCAACATAATAATTAGTAAATACTACCAAAATAATCGACAATAATAGAATAATCTTCATCTATAAAATGAAATCAAAAAATAACGACAAGTTTTTAAAAAATCTGAATTTCTGACTCCTAAAATTGCCCGATTTTGAACTTTTGTATGTTTTCTCCCAATGAAGTTTTTTGTTCATGTAGAATCGTCTCGAAAAATCGGATGATCGATTTCTATCGTGATTAATCAAAGGTAGAAAATCACACGGAAGATTAGAAGCTATTGCATGAGAAACACGACTTAATGCAACCAAATAATGTTCAGTGCTCATCACATATTTTGATCAAACCTATTCAATATGCACATCCAGACTAGATAGAAATAACTTGACAGTTTAGCTCAAATGAAGGTTTCGCTCAAAAGATATAAAATCTAAGAAATGGATGTCGCTTATCAAAAAGGAAAAAAATTGAGTGACCTTCAAAAATAAATCCAAATTTACTAAAAATATACTATTTAGAGACAACCAGAATTCTTAATAAAACAATATATTAAAATAAGGTGTATAAGTCGATTGGAAATTAAGTAGGTAGCTGCATCCAACTTAAAAGTAGATGTAAGAAATTAAGGTGGAATGAAATATTTTATTCTAAGATGAATAGAGCCAATTAATTTGCAACCCACAAGTTGTATCATTCTATTCATCTTATTTATAGCCGCAGTTAGAATGTTGTAGGAAGTTCACAATGCTAATGAATAGAACCAAGACAAGATCGAGTAAGTACTGACTGTATGAAAAGTGTATGAAAGCAGTATGAGAGTGAGTGCGAAAAGTAGGTTCATACTAAGTAAAACATTTCATTGTAAATTCTAATTTCGTAAAAATAGATTTTTTTTAGGGTTTTGCTGTTTTCTTCGAAAATAAACGTTGCTACTGAATCCAGTGTTCGATTACGTATGTTTTATGCGATGTCCAAGCTACCTCCGGTCACCTGTATACCAGTTTGCGACTCCCTGGAAATCCCATACAACGTCCGAATCACTGAAATCAAAGCGTCGCTTGACTTCCATCTTAAAGAGGACACACTTTAGGCTATCTACTCGCGAACAGAACAATATATTTTCTAGCTTAACTTTTCTAGCTGGTATAAACTGTTTATTAATGGAAAGAGAAGAGCATAAATAAATCCTATCATGCTATCGGACGCAGGGAGCCCATTATAAGCACCGTAATAATATGATAAATTCGAATATGTAAACCATAGTGTTAAGCGAACCAAAGTGAAAATATCCGAAATTAGAACGAAAGGAAATACCAAAACATTACTGTACCATTCCCACAAACACTTACATGAGAGCAAAGTTACAATGATTATGGAATATGACATGCAAATGAACTCAATCCTTCTTCGCGTGTTTCATAGCTTTTCCAGTTATAAAAACTTTTCTAGTTATGACATTAATGGGAGTAACTAATTTATTTTTATTTCATCACTCACTATAGAAAAGCAGCGAAGCAAACAAAAAATATTATCATGTATATAAGAGGAGAAAATCACGGTTAGGTATTGTGTACATATATATACAGGTAATTGTAATCGTATATATTATGCGTAAAACAATATGTATGCAGGGAGAAACCGTGATTTATTCTTTTTTTCCTAGTCAGGACATTACTCAACCTTCAAAAACTTCGTACTTAATATTGTCAACCAAGTGTCATATACATACGAGAAACACATATTTCATCAGATATCTCTGGTTTTGAGTTATACTTTCCTAATTACACTCACTATCAGAGTACTTAAGTACTTGATTGATACTTGATGATTTTGGAAGTACCCCTGACCAAAAATAGATAATCTTCTGGGTTATCGAGTGTACTAAATACGAAAAAGCCCTTTTGAGCAGCTCAAAACCAACTTTATTTTTTTGTTCCGGTGATATAAGCGTGACTTATTGCTTAAATATCTCGGGATTATCCGATGATGAAGGTTTAATGTTAACTGCATAATTAGAAGGAACTCTTAGGAGTAAAATAAAAACATGTGTTGAACTCTGATAAATAGAACGGATTGATTTTTAAATTAAGAATTGATCAAAATAATTTGTTCTTTGCCTTTTCCATGTTTTCTTTCGGAATATTTTGTTTTCTTTCTTCGAGAAATGCTTTCTAAATGACCACCACGGGAGAGAAATTGCAACAATCTCAAAGCAAATCATTCTCCTAGCCTTCCACTTGATACTCGCATTCGTATTCGAAAAATACTGTATTCGCCCATCTCTGCTCTCTTTTTCTTATGTTGTTTTAAGTTTTATTATGTCCTGATCGTAGCGTTCTCTATGTTACATTGATTGAAATAAAAAAATGTTTCTAAAGAACGCTTCACCCAGTCGGCTTTCTAATCCGCCCGCAGGATAGTTAGCCTCGAGCTCTTTTTTTCCATTTGACTCCTCTTTTTTTCTTTGAGTTAGTCACCCGTTCTCGAAGATTAATGATCGCAGACACCGTTTCCCTTACATACGGTTAGAACACTGCAGTCCTCTTGTCTTTGCAGGTTTGTCTTTCGTCTGTCAGTTAGTGATGTAAGAGTCACAATGGACTTGCTTCTTTCTTCTCATCGTTGTACTAACTTTTCTATCTTTAATAGAGTTTATATAAAACGGCGAAGGCGCTACAATATGTTCGATCCCGAATGTTAGAATTTAATCTTGAGTTTTTGTTTAAATAAAGTCGAGTAGAACTGTTTATAACTATTATTTTTTTGGTCGCATTTATCTCATCATATTTCATTCTGTTACACATACTCTCCCATTTCTTCTTATCTACAGAAACTTTTGAGTACATACCCTAGTGAATGTACTCAAGTTTGAGTACTCAAAAAGTATTCTGCTAGAAAAACCGGACGAGTACTCATACGTACTCATACATTTTTTTACTCACTGAGTTACTCATGAGTGAGTAACGATTACTCTGAGTACGACTTTGAGTACTCATACCACTTTCGGCAAAATACTCATGAGTATTGTTCATCTGATATTTTCATATAGAGGAGTGATCTCAGGTAGCCAGAGTAGGACTACAAGTCTATCTCTGACTATATAAAGAGAGACCAGTGAGAAAATAATAATATAAATATTCTGTGTTTCTTCACTAAATTCTACATTCTTTATATAGTTTCAGTTTAGCAAAATAAAATGGTGAATGAATATTTCCTGAGTACTCACATGAGTAACTGAGTACTCACTGAGTAACAATACTCAGAAATTGTTAGTAGTACCAATATGAGTACTCATGGACGAATTATGAGTAAAGTCGTACTCATCGTATGAGTACTTTCACTAGGGTAGTGATGCCCTCACTCTCACATAGTGAACTCTCGCAACCCATACCCTCTCCTTCCTACATTAAGACTATGCTTTTCTGTTTTATCAACAGACTCTTCTTGTTGCTATACGTTTTCTTTAGTATCATACCAACACATTCCTCTACCTAGTTTTCTTCTATTTATTTTCGATTTTTAAATTTTTCAAGTTAACGACATTCAAATTTATGGTTTGTATTTAACAAATAATTTTATTGTAATTGTTGTGTCAAGACGACATGCCAATCAATAATGACTCTATTCGTTTTTTTTTATTTTGAAAGTCTTTTGCACCGTTTTGTTTCAAAAGTTTTCCTAAACTTTTGGAAGTACCCCTGGTCAAAAATAGAAAATCTTCTGGGTTATCGAGTGTACTAAATACGAAAAGCCCTTTTCGGCAACTCAAAACTAACTTTATTTTTTTGTTCCGGTGATATAAGCGTGACTTATTGCTTAAATATCTCGGGATTATCCGGAGATGAAGGTTTGATGTTAACTGCATAATTAGAAGGAACTCTTAGGAGTAAAATAAAAACATGTGTTGAACTCTGATAAATAGAACGGGTGCTAAAAGTTGAGCCTTAAATTGCATCGAAACTGTATATATGGATTACAATTCTCTGATATGTGACACCATTCCTTGTAATTTTACTTCTCCACAGACTTTCTAAACAGACTTTTTTCTATTTCTGTGTGTGTGTCTAGAATTTCGTATATTATAGTTTGCTGTTTTTTCGTATCAGATTCTTTTTCCGTGATTACATTGTATCGATCGTGTTTCTCTATTCCACGATAATAATGGGGCATGTCTCTCTTTTTGATGGTAAGGGAAAAATTAATATGCTCTTCTTTCTCTTTCAAATAAAATATAATGGAAGAGAAATGGAAGAGAAGTGAATTGAAAGTATCCGGTGGTAATTATTGGTTTCGTTCACTGTCACGTGGGAATAAACCGTAGTATTGTCCTGTTGGTTGAACAAGATTTGGTATAAAGAAGCAACAGAAATCGGCGAGTGGCTCCGATACTAAGGTATGCGAAGTGGAACGCGGGTGTCTGTCATTATAAAAACGAGTCTTTTACACCAATAAGGACAAATAGACAATTTCTAATTTTTGTTTTTGTTAATTCGATTTAAATATATTTCTTTCCTACTTTAGTTGTGACTTGATTTGGCTTAGATGATACAACGTTGTCAGTGAAATAGTCAGACAGTCGTCCTCGTCTATTGTATTATTATTTTTGTTTTGTATTGTTATTCCGATATTTTATTATGACAAAAGCTGAGATAGAGAAGGCTGCGCAAAATCGCGAAAAGTGAAGAAAGCTAGTGATCGACTGCACACGCTATGACGCCCTTGCAGTTGTCTGATGATGATGATGATATTTTATTTTGTTTTGTTTTATTAATAATTAATATTAATCAATATATAAACAAATAATTAAAATGATTTTTTTAATCTGTTTTATTTTTATTT